AGGTCGCCTCATTTCCCTTCGCTGTTCATGTGCACGCGAGGTCTCGGGGAGGGGGCGGCAGGAGTGCGGTCCGGACCCAGGGCCGGCACGTCCGGCAGGTGTTGTTGCCCACCTGGGGCGGGGTGCTGGGCGTCAGGCGTTGGGAATGTGGGTTTGCTGGAAGTTTGGTAAGCTGCAAAAAACAAAAAGCCTCAAGCATCACTTCGTCCATACTTTCTTCCTCGGCTTTTTGCCGGGAGGAAGGAATGGGCTGTGGCAGGCAGGTGGGAAGAGAGGGGAGCGGGTATCGTGTTCAGGTTAGGCCGACGAGGTCACTCCTAGCCCCCTCTCCAAAAAGGACGTGACTAGGCCCAGGAGAGAATGGCCCTAAAATCCTATTTTTATATGTGTGAGTAAATCTATTTTTTTTACAAAAAAAATAAATAAACTTCTGAACTTACCAGTGTTTTGATGTTAAAGGAAAATATTTCTCTGTCGTAAATTATTTATTGGGAGATGACTTTCTAAAAGCTGCTGTTTGCCCCGGCGTGGTTTCGTACACTGATTTATTTTTCTATGCCAGGAAGTAGACTCTCCCTGCCTCCGAGGAGCAGGCCGAGCCCTCCGTGGAGGCCAGCGTTGGTGCAGGATGCTGCTAAGCCCCTCGCGTGCCCCTCAGGATTCAATTAAAACCCCGCCTGTGGGGACGGGCGTGTTGGGGAGAGGCGGAAGGACATAAGAGAGCCCTCACCTGCCTGTCACTCAGGTGTCACCAACACCTGCCTCCTTGTCCCTTGGGGGATGAGGGTGGGGGCAGGGATTGACCCATTGGGAAGTGGACCCAGCCCTGGGCATGCTGAGGTCCAGCTCCCGCTTTACAGCTGGCAGTAGGGTTGTGGGGATGGGTGCCTGGTGTGGGGTTCCTGCCCATGCTTGTACAGTGGCTGAACTGTGTCCTCGATTTTCCTGAGAACTGTGCCTGTCAGTGGGAAGGTGCGCTCGTTATCTGAATTGTACTTTCTCTCTCCTCCCTGTCCCTGCAAACCGGGGGAGGCCACGGGAGCCTGGACCGCCTCTGCCTCCGCCTCCACCTCCCGCTCGCTCCCAGGCACACAGTCATCCGTGTCCCCGCTCCCCGTGTGCGGCCTGCAGGGTTTGGTGGGGGTGGCGGGGAGACAGAGTGGATATAACTTAAGACGGAAGTATACTTTTTATAACTTTTCTTTTTAAAACTTTGTGAAATTACTTCAGATACATATTTTAGTGTGGAGGCCCATTAGCATATAGGCAGCAAAAAAAAAAAAAAAAAAAGCGCATGGTGTACAATTCTACTTGGGCCAATCACAGAATAGTGTATTTTATGTTACAATAAAGCCTTGCTCTGAAGGGGCCGTATTGAGTCCTGTTTTGTTTCTCCAATCCGAGGGCGAGGGAGGGTGGTCTGAAGGGGGACGTTGGCCATCCTGTGTGACTGGGAGGGTTTGGGAGTTGGCTCCTCCGAGAGCAGGCCGCCAGGTCTGATGGCAGATGGGGGCATTTATTTTTATTTCACTTTTTTTCTTTAATCCTCACCCAAAGGTATTTTCCCATGGATTGTAGAGAGAGTAGAAGAGAGAGGGAAAGAGAGAGAGAAACATTGATGTGAGATAAACACACCGATGGGTTACCGCCTGCACGCACTCTGACCAGGGGCCCGGGCTGGGGAGAAGCCTGCAACAGAGGTGCATGCCCTTGACCAGAATCGAACCTGGGATCCTTCGATCTGCAGGCCGACGCTCTATTCCCCGAGCCAAACCAGCCGGAGCTGATGCGGGCATTTCTTACTTTCCTGCTCACGTGATGTTTTGAAAATCGCCCCTCTGCCACCTGAAAGGAATGTTCTTGCGTGGAGAAATGGTTTGGTGCTTTGGAATATTCAGCTCTTACCAAGCCTGTGCCCTTTGGCTGAGAGCCACCGGTGTCCCCGAAGGCTGTGTATTTCCAGCTCTCGTCCCTCCTGTGGTGTGGAGATCCAGCGTCCGGATGCTGCCCGAGAGAGACAGCTGCTGCCCGTCAGTTCTCTTAATAAGCGCTTTGCTTAATTCTCTGTCCTCCTCTCTTCTCGTTCTCAGCCCTGTCCTCCTGGGGAAGCCAGTTGTGGTACACCCCAGGAAATTTTCCCACACAAAGGACACTATCAAGAAAATAAAAAGACAACCCACAGGAGAAGACACTTGCGGATCATAGGGCACTGGTTTGTGAAATATATAAAGAGCTCTTATCACCTAATAGTGAAAAGCCAACCCAGTTAAAATGCAAGGGATCTGAAAAGACATGTCTGCAAAGGAGACTCACACGTGGCCACTAAGCACATAAAATAGGCTCAGCGTCATTAGTCATCAGGAAAATTAAAATTAAAATAGACTCAAGTCACTTCGTACCCCACTAGAATGGCCAGATCAAAAGGCCAGGTAATACGTTAGCAAAGATGTAGGGAAATCGGGACCCTCATGGACTAGTGGTGGGGATGTGATATGATGTGGGCACTTGGGAAGCCAGTTTAGCCGTTCCTTAAACAGCTAAAAAGAAACAAGTTATACAACCCAGCTATTCTTGACACAAGAAAAACTATATGTCCACAGAAAAGCATGTACACTACCCTGGCCAGTTTGGCTTAGTGGATGGAGCATCGGCCTGTGGACTGAAGGGTTCCCCAGGTTCGATTCCGGTCAAGGGCACATGCCTGGGGTGCGGGATTGATCCCCGGTATGGGGCATGCAGGAGGCAGCCCATCAATGATTCTCTCTTATCATTGATGCTTCTATCTCTCTCTTCCTCTCGCTGCTTCTCTGAAATCAATAAAGATATATTTTTTAAAAAGAGAAAAAGAAAAAAAAAACACGCATGTAAATGTTCATTCTACATAACAGTCAAAGAGCGGAAATGAACCAAACGTCCATCCATCGGTGGATGGGTAAACAAACATGATGGTGTTTACACAGCACATTTGGAGGGTGTCGGCTCCAAGGGATACGATTTGGCAATAAGGATAAATGAGCTGGTGGTCCACAGCCCCACAGGGAAGAACCTTGTAAACATTATGCTAAGTGAAGGAAGCCAGATGCCAAAGACCATGTGTTGTGTGATTCCACTGACGTGAAACGTCCAGAACAGGCGCACCTACACGGAAAGCAGGCTTGTGTTCGCTTAAAGACATGGTGGGGGAAGCTGGGGAGGGCCAGAGGGGTATGGCTCAAGGGTACAGGGTTACTCTTGAGGTTACAGAAATAGTTGGTGTCACACGTATCTGTGAATATACTAAAAACCATTGCATTGTACGCATTCAATGGGTGGCTTGTGTGAATGACATATAATAACGCTGTTGTGTTTTAAAAAAACAAGTGCAATAGCTCAGCAAGAAATAAAGGAGTGAACACAGGGGAGGAGGGGAGACTGAGAGCAGACCTGTGCACAGGAGCCGTGAAGAGCAGGAGAGATGCTGCGAGGCTTAGAGCCAGGGGAGGGGCCAAGGGAAGGGTGTCCACGAGCCTGGTCCAGAGCACAGGTGGAGGGAGAGGGGGTGAGCCATGGGCCAAAGAAGAGCCTCACACAGCTCCCCAAACTCCACCGCAGGAGCGTCTCAGTGTCCTCTGGAAGCGTGTGTTTCCTTGGGATGAAGCCGGGAAGCGAACGCAGGTTGTGACCCCAAATCGGAGGAAGCGGGGCCGTCAGGTTCTCTGGCTGGAGGACTAGCTGTCACTTCTCTGGAGAACACTGTGTGGTGGGTTCTCTCTGCTGGGCTACGGACGGGGGGTGAGATTCTTTCCTGTCTTTGCAGTCTCTCAGCCTGGGGTGCCCATCACCTACCAACGGAATGTTTCTTCAATAAAAATGTCTTTCGCCGAAACCGGTTTGGCTCAGTGCATAGAGCATCAGCCTGTGGACTGAAGGGTCCTGGGTTCAATCCCGGTCAAGGGCATGTATCTGGGTTGTGGGCTCATCCCCAGTAGGGGGTGTGTAAGAGGCAGCTGATTGATGATTCTCTCTCATCCATGTTTCTAACTCTATCCCTCTCCTTTCCTCTCTGTAAAAAAATCAATTAAATATATAATATATATATAATAATAATTATTATTATTATTTTAAGTGTCTTTCTTTCTCTCCTATCTCGGTGGGGTGGCTTTCTGGGTTGGGAGAAAACGTTGCTTTTTAACAGTTCTCAAGCTCGAATCTGCTTCAGGACTGGTGTGCCCCACCCCCAGCCGATGCTGCTTCCTGGCGCTCTTCCCCCACACACAGTCAACTTTCTCTTCCTTCACCTGCATGAATCTGAGCCCTCGCTTCCCACACTTCCCATGCCTGCCAGCATGGGCCAGCGCCCAGCACGCCCCCCTTGGGCAACCTGCTCCTTTAAGAGCACCCCCTCCCCCACCCCAGCTCCTCCCTCAGGCCCAGTGACCGGATTTCCCTGTTGTGAGGCCCAGCGCTTTAAACCATGGCCCTTTCTGGGTCAGCTGTCTGCTGAGCTGGGCGTGCTGAGGGGCCCTGGGTGCTGGGAGTAGGGTGTGACAGGTACATGTGGGACAGGAACCACTGCCCAGGGCTCAGGAGGGACGCGGAGCTGGAACAGGGTGTGACCTGGGGGGGGGGGGGGGGGGGAGGAAGCAGAGCCACTCCTTCATCAAGCAGCCGCTGGGCGCTGGGCAGCGTGCCAAGCCCTCTCTGCACCTTCTGAGGCAGGGCTTGTGTTCCCATTGGACAGACAGGAAGACGGAGCTCAGAGCAGCCCCCTGAACCGAGTGGGGCCAGACAGGTAGCCAGTGGCAGAGCCAGGATCCGAACTCAGGTCAGTGCGACGCTAAAGCCTGATGCTGTCCTCCTCGCTGCCTGACGGGGATCCTGGCTTCCTCCTACACCTGCTCTGTCCTTGGTTCTCCTGCGGGAGGCAGAAGGGGAGTAAGAAGGGGGGTAAGAAACGGGGGATCCCCTGCAGCCCCAGCACCAGCTCTCCGAGCCCTTCCTCCCCCAGGAGCTGCCTGGAGATGCTCCTGCTCCTGCTGCCGCTGCTCCTGCTGCTGCTGCTGCCCCTGGCCGTGCTCTGGCGCCAGCGGGCCCCGGGGCCCGGGCCGTCCTGGCTGGCCAGCCTGCAGCACCGGGTGGCCTGCGGGGCCCTGTGCTGGGCAGCCGCCTGGCAGCAGTGGAGGCTGGAGCAGAGCACCCTGCACGCGGGCCTGCGCCAGCAGCAGGCCCTGAGCCGGTGCCTGAAGCGAGCCCGGGGTCCCCCCTCTCCTCTCACGGGGAGCACAGGTGTGTTTTCCAGGGTCCGAGGAGGTGACCCAATGAGGAGGAAACCCCACAGAACAGTCAGATTCCAGAACCTGGAGACCTCCCTCCCCTGCTCCCCCGCTCCTGCTCCCAACACAGACAGGCTGACCCAGAGACCCTCCCAGGCTCAGGATCGTCCGAGAGCACTTTCCCCACCCTGAGCCCGGCAGCTCCTCCCCCACCCGGGCCTGGTCCAAGTCCCCTCCTCAAGGGTCTCAGCAGCCGGGTCCGAAACGCTTGGGAAACTCCGTGTGGCTTCGTGGGCAGTTGATGATGTCTCTGCAGCTGCAGATATGACCACCTTCCGGAATCACCTCCCTTTGACCGAGGCCAGCCAGGCCCCAGAAGAAGAAAGTGGGGAGCAGCTCCTGCCCCCTGCCTCCAAACAGCACCCTGGGGAGGCCTCTCTGCAGGTAAACGCAGGAGGCTGGAGCCCGGCCCCACCGCAGAGCCCGGTGTGCAGGCACACCCTCCCCTCCGGGTGGGCGAAGAAGGATCCCCAAACGGGGGGCTCGGGGCCTGGCTCCGGCTACGCCCTCTCTTGTCTCCCTCCAGGCCACCTTGCTGGGCCTGGCAGCCCTCAACCAGGCCTACCCAGCGGCGCTGGCCCGCGGGAGCACGGCCTGTGTGACCCCCACGTCCCCCTGGCCCCACCCTCTGCCCTGGCCGTGGCGCGCCCTCCGCCGGGCTGGCCCCCCGGGAGCCAAGGACCCCCGGGCCCTGCTGCTGGAGGCGCTGAGGTCCCCGGGGCTGCGGGCGCTGGAGGCCGGGACGGCGGCCGAACTCCTGGACGTTCTCTCGGGCCTGGAGGCCGACGGCGAGGAGCTGGCGGAGGCGCTGGCTGCCGGGAACCCAGGGGCGCCTCTCCCCGCGCGGGCGGCGGAGCTGCGGGAAGCCCTCGAGCAGGGACCCCGGGGCCTGGCCCTGCGGCTCTGGCCGGAGCTGCAGGTGGTGGTGACTCTGGATGCGGGAGGCCAGGGCGAGGCCGTGGCTGCCCTGGAGGCCCTGTGGTGCCACGGGCTGGCCTTCTTCTCGCCGGCGTACGCCGCCTCCGGAGGTCAGCGGGACACAAGGGCGGGCAGCTGGGGCCAGGGGGCAGAGGGCACACCGCTGGCTGCCATGCAGGGAGCCCTACGTCACCATCTCGGGTGACCCTCCCCCAACACCCGCAGCTCCATTTTACAGATGGAGAAACTGAGGCCCATAGAGGTTGCACAAATGCACACACAGCCCCCAGGTCTGCCACACCCAGACCCACTGCCTCCTCCCAAGTAGGGCCCCAGAAGCAGAGTGCCAAGCCCCGGAGGAGCCGCAAAGGAGGGGGTGGGAGGGCAGCAGGAGAGTCAGATGCTCGGAGGGTGGAGGTTCAGGGGGGAGGGCCCAGCCGAAAGCCACGGCACCACCAGACGAGGCCGCTTGCTCCCCGCAGGCGTGGTGGGCCTGAGCCTGTGGCCAGAGCAGCCCGCTGGGCTCTACCTCCTCCCGCCGGGAGCTCCCGTGACTGAGCTGCTCCCAGTCCCGGCGGGAGGCCAGGAGGGGGCTGCCACCACCGTCCTGCTGGCCGAGGCCCAGCAAGGCCAGGAGTACGAGCTGGTGGTGACGGACCAGGCCAGCCTTACCAGGTGATCATCCGCACCCCACCCCAACCCCGTGCCTCGGGCCCTCTGGGGCCTGCTGGGGGCCAGGGGCATGAGCCGACGGGTCCTTGGGCCTGACCTCCCCTCCCTCCACCCTGCCAGGTGCCGCCTGGGTGACGTGGTTCGGGTAGCTGGTGCCTACAACCAGTGCCCCGTCGTCAGGTTCATCGGCAGGTGGGTGACGTCCTGGGGAGCCGAGGGGCCGTCCTTCAACCCTGGGCCCCTCCTCTGCCTCCCGCTTTTTCCTTCCTCCCTCCCTCCCCAGGCGGGGCCAGGCCCTGAGCGTGCGCGGGGAGGACATCGGCGAGGACGTGTTCTCGGAGGCCCTGGGCCGGGCGGTGGGGCAGTGGCCAGGGGCCAAGCTGTTGGACCATGTCTGTGTGGAGAGCAGCATTCTGGGTAAGCGTCTCTGTGGGTTCCTGCCCCCCATTCTTGGGTCAACTCCCCCACAACCCACGCCCCTCCTGCTGAGAGCGCTCGGGGAAGGAGGTACGACCCAGCCTCCTTGGTGGCTCCTGATGAGAGACCTTCCCCCCAGGTCTCACTCCCATCCTTCCGGCAGCAGCCGCTCCCTGGTCACTTTCCTGACGGGTTTCATACTTAGAACGAGGCTGTGGGTTCCTCTTCCTCCCCCCCCACACACACACTCACACACACTCACACCAAGAAACCCGTTTTCCCACACCCTCAGAGCAGGGAAGAACGGGGTGGGGCGGTGGGCACTGGTTTCGGAAGCGGCCCGGTTCCCAGGAGGGCGTGTGCGTGGGGTTTGCCTGCAGATTCCTCCGGGGGCTCCGCTGCTCCGCACTATGAGGTGTTTGTGGCCCTGAGGGGGGTGAGGAACCTGTCGGAGGAAAATCGAGACAAGGTAAATGCGACCGGGACCGGGCCTGCCTGCATGTCCCCTTCCCTCTGCCCCTCCTTCCCCTCCTCCGCCCCCCAGCCAGGTGCAGTGGGCACGGCGGAGTGATGGGGAGGTGGGGGCAGGGAGGAGGACCTCCCCGAGGCTCCAAGAAGGGAGGGGTGAGTCCCAGGCACACACTGGGCGCCGTCCAGCGCACCTCATCCACATGCCTCTCTGCCCTCAGCTGGACCGCTGCCTCCAGGAGGCCTCTCCCGGCTACAAGTCTCTGCGCTTCCGCGGCAGCGTGGGCCCGGCCAGGGTGCACCTGGTGGGGCCGGGGGCCTTCGGAGCCCTCCGGGAGGCCCTCGCCGCCTCCCCCGCGGCCCCCTTCCCCCCGGAGATGCCCCGGGTCCTCAGGCACAGGCGCCTGGCCCGGCTCCTGCAGGGGAGAGTGATGTCCTGAGCGGAGGCTGCCCGCTGGCCGGCCACCTCACAAGGGCCTCTCTCTCTCTCTCCTCCGGGGCCTCTCTGGGCCAGGCTCTGTGACTCTGCGTCCCCTCGCAGTGGCTCATCTGAGCTGCTGGGCCTGAGGGAGGTGCAGCCTCGCCAGCCAGCTCCGAGGAGGTGGCCTCAGGGGGTAGCAGACCCCGCAGGGCGCTGCGGGGAGCCCCGTGGCCCCTCTGAAGGACCCTGCTGGAGAGTCCCCACACAGGGGGGAGGGGGCCGCCGTGTGTTGGGAGTTGGTGCTCCCAGAAGCAGCCCTCAGTCAGCAAGGAACAGGAGTGGTGAACCCCCGACCTCAGCGTCACTGTCCCTCAGGGCGACCATTCTGAAGTGTGTCCCGCCCGCTGCCCGCAGGGGGAGCCCTCTCGTCAACACGGTTCTCCGGGCATCCCTCCCGCCTCCGCTCCCCGCGGTGTTTTCTATGATCACCTCCCAAATAAACCTCTTGCACCCAGATTCCTGGCTCAGGGTCTACGTGTGGAGAGACGGCAAACCCTCCAGAGCCCCGTGCAGAGCCAGACACAGAGTCCCCTTGGCCCTGATGCCGCCGCAGCCGGTCCCCTCCCTTCAGCTCTGACCACAGGGCTCCCCCTCGCTCCGCTGGGGAGGCCCCACGTGTGTGCATTCAGGAGACCTCGGGGACTCCTGCCGTGACCTAGGTCAACCCAGGAGTCTCAGAGCCCCCTCCTCCCACCTCTCCCCATCCCAAGCTTCACCGAAATGTGAAGGGGCTACTCGCAACTTCTCTGGCCCTGGCTCAGCAGGGGTCCCCTTCCTGGCCGGACACCCAGAAATCACTGCCATAGGCAGCGGCTCTGCTGCACATCATCACAGCAGGAAGCGACCGCAGGGATTCCTGGGTTCACGGCCCCTCTTCCTGGCGGGACACATGGAGGCTTCCTGAGCTTTCGAGACTTGCTCTGGGCCCAGAAGTTCCTCCTAAGCCGTGGTCAGCAAACTGCGGCTCTCGAGCCACATGCGGCTCTTTGGCCCCTTGAGTGTGGCTCTTCCACAAAACACCACGGCCTGGGCGAAGAAGTGGCGTTAGAAGTTTAAGTTTAAAAAATGTGGCTCTCAAAAGAAATTTCAATCGCTGTCCTGTGGGTATTTGGCTCTGTGGACTCATGAGTGTGCCGACCACTGTCCTGAGTAACGCAGTGCCTGTGTGTAAGGCTCTGCTTCTGTCCCCGAATGACTTCGGAACTCCATGCCCTACATGCAGGCCCCAATGCCCACCCACCCAGTCCCTGTATCAGCCCATGACTCCTCCCCACAAAAACCCCCACGGCGCCCCAGTGCCCACAGGGTCAAGGCTAATCAGCTTAGCCCGAAAGGCCCGTGGACCCATCCCCGGCCTTGCTCTCCTGTCCAGGCTCCGCTCTCCTCTGAGGAAAGCCACGGCCGCGAGGACCACACCCCACTATCCCACGTGCGTCAGGCACTGTCCCCGCCCGGTCTTTGCCTAAGCTGTCCCTCAGGAGAGTGCCTTCTCCCCTGGCCTCGCCTGGTAGAAATCCCCTTCTCCTGAGAGGCCTTTTCAGAGTCCTTTCTCCCACGGAGCTACCGTCCTATGCCGGCCACTCTCCCACCTGTGGAGCCCCATGAAAACTGGGCATGCCCCATGCATAGGTCCCTCCAGAGCCCCGGCAGGGCCTGACACAGGGCAGCTGCTCCGTAGACGGTGCCCTGGCCTAGCTGGTTTGGCTCAGTGGTTAGAAAGTGGGCCTGCGGATGGAAGGGTCCAGGTTCGATTCCGGATGGGGGCACATGCCCGGGTTTTGGGTTCAATCCCCAGTAAGGGGCATGCAGGAGGCAGCCCATCGATGATTCTCTCTCATCATTGATGTTTCTAGCTCTCCCTCTCCCTTCCTCTCTGAAATCAATAAAAAAAATATATTTTTTTTTAAAAAAAAACAATAGACAGTGTCCTGACAAGAGAGACTTCAGCATGGGGGCTCACTTGCTGCTGATGGTGGGATAGGGTCCCGTCTCTGCCCTCCAGGAAGGAAGCTGGAGAGGTCAAAGGGTAACACCAGGCACTCTTTTCCCTGCTGCCCAGGTTTGATTTTCAAAGTTTTCCATCTGGGAGGTTAGTGGAAAGGGCGGAGGGAATGGGCCTGGGGGAGGGAGAGCCAGCTCAAAGCCTTTTTCCCATGGAGGAGAAGGCCCTGGAGCCTGACAGACGCCCGGGCAGAGGGGAGGCACGCAGACGCACACACACACATACCCCTCGGAGGATGAGTTTCCTGCCTGCCTCCTCTTCTGCCCTAATTAGCAGCCACCCCTCCCCACATTGTCCCAGACCAGCGCCCGCCCGGCCAAAGGCCTCTTTTGTGCTCCCAGATGCCTGGGTGCAAGGTGGCCTCATTAGTGCCGGGAGACGGCCCCATCTCCAAGGAGCAGGCAGACAGGGAAGCGGGGGAACCAGGGGCACCATGATCCAACCCCAGCCTCGGCGTGTCCTGGCGGCCATTCCTGGGGCCCAGCCTGGAGACGGCCCCCTGTGCGAGGCTAATCTTAGACTTGCCTTTGTCTGGCCCCAGAGTGGACGCAAGTGCCCCCCCAACTCAGAGCATTATAAACCCCAGGCCCCTGGAGGCAGGTCACCGTGGACCGACAGCCTTCCGGCTCCTCGCTGTCTGGACCCCTGGAGACGGCGCCTTCCCTGCGGCTCCACGCTGAGCTCCGGACGCCATGAGCCCTACAAAGGTACGGACCCAGGGGTGGAGGGGACGGGCCTTCCAGGGGCGGGAAGAAAGGCTGGGCGAGTCTCCCCTCTTGTTCTCCTTCTCTGCCGGCTCTGAGGCAGGCAGGGGGCTGGGTGGACCCTTGGCTGAGGACCTGTCTTGCTTGGTTAACGATCAGTCGTGCCCAGCTCTCCTAAGAGCTCATGTTTATTAAGCACGTACTTCTCACCAGGTGCTGCTGGTACCTGTCCCCTCCTTTCCTCCTCCCGGCAGCCCTGCCCGGTAGGAATTATGTAATACCCAGTTCCCAAGGGCGGAGGCTGTGGCCCCTAAGAGGGTGGGAAACTGGGCCGAAGCCCAGTTCAGTGTCCAGCAGGCAAACACCCCAACGATTTGGATCCTGCTGGTCCTTGAATGTGCGCGGGTTTGCCGCAGTGGGGAGGAGGAGTGGGACCACATAGGGCCTGTTTCGCAGGATGCACAAACTTCTGGTGCAGACAGACGCTCACACACGCGTTTTCAGGTGGAGTGGTTAAGCACTCTGATGGGGTAACGACGAAGTAAGGATACTCAGAGGAGACAGGGATTCGTTTTGCCCAGGGGGTCTCTCCCACGACCCCTTCTCCCATCCCTCCCACAGCACAGCGAAGAGGCGGAAAAACCAAGGGGCAGAGAGGAGGGGGCGTGCAGCCCTCGGGGCAGGGCCGGGGTGCAGGGCTGGAGGGGTTCTTGCGGCGTTAGGAACCCCAGCGCCCCGTCTCCTCCTCCCTAGGTCCCCTGGACCGCCGTGACGCTGCTGCTGCTGCTGCTGCTGCCGCCCGCGCTGCTGTCGCCCGGCGCGGCCGCGCAGCCCCTGCCCGACTGCTGCCGCCAGAAGACGTGCTCCTGCCGCCTCTACGAGCTGCTGCACGGCGCGGGCAACCACGCGGCCGGCATCCTCACGCTGGGCAAGCGGCGGCCCGGCCCCCCGGGCCTGCAGGGCCGGCTGCAGCGCCTCCTGCAGGCCAACGGCAACCACGCGGCCGGCATCCTGACCATGGGCCGCCGCGCAGGCGCAGAGCCCACGCCGCGCCCTTGCCCGGGACGCCGCTGTCCCGCGGCGGCGGCCGCCTCCTCCTCCGTCGCTCCTGGGGGTCGGTCCGTGGTCTGAGCCCGTGCTCAGCCTAGGCCCTGGCACTGCCCTCTCCCCTCTGCCCGCCCGCCCGCCCTCAGCCCCCAGAAAAATGCGCAATAAAGAGGCGTCTCCGTTAGCGCGGCCGGTCTCGGTTCCTGTGTGGTAGCGTCCTGCCCTCCAGGGGGCGTCAGAGTCTTGCGAACTGGAAAGAGCCCGAGGGCCTGGGAGCCCGGCTCCAGGACGGGCCCCTCCCCCGCTCACCCCAGCTTGGGCGGCCTCGGACCTGAAACACTTTGGGGTGGGGAGCTCCCCAGGACAAGGCGCGGTGCAAGGCCGTGGGGCGCGGGAAGAGTCGCAGATGTGCGTGCTTGGAGGGGAGGGTGCAAGGAACATCCAGAGGCTGCAGCGCAGGGTGGAGGGGGTGTGAGGGGAGAGGGGAGGCCCTGGAGGGGAAGCGGTCAGGTGATGCAGCCCAGATTGCGAAGGCCGTCACGGGAGTCACTTTATCCTGTGGGTGGCTGGGAGTCGCGAGTTCCGATGCGGGGGTGGGGCAAGATTTTCCTGCAACTTTATTGGAACACACCTGTTATAGATTGACTTGTGAACCCCTCCCCAAATTCATATGTTGACGTTCTAACGAGGCCCCAGCACTTCAGAATGTGAATCTTATTTGGGGGGTCGTTGCAGATATGAGTTAAGATGAGGTTCTGTTGGAGTGGAATGGATGGGTCTCCACTCCAAGGTGACTGGGGTTCTTACAAAAAAAAAAGGAGGGGGGGTGGTTGGACACAGAAACGTACTCGGAAAGAACAGGAAGGCAGAGGTGGGTGGGGCATTTGTAAGCCAAAGATTGCCAGCAGCCCATCAGAAGCTCACAGCTGTCAAAAGGAACCAATCCTGCCATCACCTTGAGCTTGGACTTCTAGCCTCCAAAATTGTGAGAAAATAAATGCCTGTTGTTTAAGTGCCCCATTTGAGATACAGGGGTCCCAGGGAACTAATATAACACCCAAAAGTAGAGACACAAAAGGATGTGGCGCTTCTAAGCAACTTAATCCTGGGTTCAGGCTCCGGGAGGAAGGGGTTGAGGAGGCAGCTGGCTTGCCCTCTCTGGAGACCACCTTTCCATCTTCCCTGGCTTTAGCAGGGAAGCAGTCACCTAAGCCTCCACGCTCAGCTGCCCCGGTAATTGTCTGCTTCCGTGGTGAAAAAAGTCCCGTGTCTGGTCTCACCTGGGTCTTTCTTGCTGCTGGTTAAGTCTTGAAAAAGATGGAGTTCAAAGTCCACCAGCTCACCTTTGGAGATTTGAAAACTGACTCTGTCCCCCTTGAAACTATCTTTCTCGGCCCCAAACTTGCTTCCAGCCTCTCCTGCACTTGAATGGCAGCAGAGAGGAGGGTTTCAGTCAAGACGATAGGAAAAGGGAGAAAATTGCTCTCCGACACACTTATTTTGCGCCAACATATATGCATTAGGCTATTACTTTCACACAACCGCATGAGGTAAACATTATTAGCTCCATTTTACAGATAAGAAAAGTGAGGCTCAGAGAGGCCAAGTCACACCTTTAGTAAGTGGAGGAGCCAGGACTCTGCCCTGTGGACTCCAAAGCTCTTTTTCATCCGTCCTGCCGGGCTGAGAGGCAGCATTTGCCAGCGGGCCCTGCGCCAACGGAGGCGCAGCCTCGCCAGCCCCTGCTGCCTCGTGTTGGGGAGCGGGACCTGGGAGCGCTGCCGAGCAGCCCGGCTCAGCAGACAGCACTGCGACCCGCTACCTTTCCCGGCTGGGGCGGCGTCTGGGGAAGCCGTGGGCGGAGCCGGGAACCACGCGCGGGGCGTGGCCACGGGAGGAGGCGTGTCTGCAGCTCCGGCTCCGAACCGCCTCTCGGCGCCTCTGCTCCCCGGAGGCGTGTCTCCAATTCCCTCCGAGAGAGAGAGACTCGCGTGGGCCGCCCGCTCCCGGAGGAGGGCCGCGGAGAGAGGTGCGGGTGTCACCGGAGCCCCACCCCGCGCGGGGCCCCGTGGCGGACGCGGCCGAGCCCCGGGGGAAAGAGCCTGGGCCCCGGGGAGAAGAGCCACTGAGGCGGCGCCCCGCCGAGCCGAAAGCCGACAGCTTCGGAGCAGAGGCTGTGGCGGCGGCGGCTGGAGGGAGGGCAGGAGGCTGGCCCGCGCATGGGGCCCCCCGGCCCCGCCGGCAGCGCGCCCCCCGGGGCCCGGCCGAGCTGACCGCCCCCGGCGCCGCCACGCCTCGAACTCGCGCCCCGAGCCATGCCGATCATGAAGGGGTTGCTGGCCCCGCAGAACACCTTCCTGGACACTATCGCCACCCGCTTCGACGGCACCCGTGAGTGGGGCGGAGGCTGGGGCTGGGGGCTCCTGCTTGGTCTTCTGGACCCGGGGCGAGAAGGGCGAGTGGGGCCGGGGGTCTGGGAGCTCCGGACGCCGCGGTGAAGGAGCGGGACTGAGGGATGCGCTGCGGGGGGAAGCGGGGAGAGGGCCCAGAGTGCGGGGACCCGGGGCAGGGGTGGTGGCTGGAGGCACGAAGGGCTGAGTGTGTGGCGAAGCGGAGGGGAGGCCTGGGGAGCCGCCCCGGCCGGGGCAGAGCTCCGCTGGCGGGGGGGCGCGTGTGACGCCCGAGACGCGGAGGCTGGAGAAGCGGTCAGTTCCACACGCCCTTCCCCCAGGAAAAAGAGAGGGAAGGAGGGAAAGAGAGAAGATCAGACTTAGGCAGGACCTAGTTTAGACTAAGGTCACGCACCCCCAAATCGTGGCGTGTCTGCGTTTGAGGGAGGTGAGGCAGGAGGAGGGGGTGGTCCGGGCGAGGAAGGGAACTCCCTGCTCGCCCACCACCCCAGCTGGGTGTCCAGGTTCAGGACCTTGGACAGCCACACGCCTCCTTCCCCGCTCCTGCTCCCGCCTTTCCCGCTTCCTACTTCGCAGCCTAGAGGTCCCTGCCTGCCCCTCTGGGCACCTTTGCTACCTCTGGAAGGTGTGGTGAGCGGTACCCAAGAGCGGAAACTGATCTGGGGGGGCCCAGGCGGGGGAGACTCCCCGCCTCTCCACCCTTCCTCCACACACGCCTCCCTTGTTTCCATAGTGCCCATCACCCGGAGCAACGAGCTCTGGGATGGGAGAAGGAGGCTGCTGCCCTGGGCCCAGCACCCTCAGGGTCCCCATCAGTCCAGCCCAGGCCCAGGCACACACCCTTCCTAGCAACCCCGGGACTGGTCGTGTCTCAGGCACCTTCCCTCGTTGAGACTCTGTCATTGGGTGGCCCGTACAGCCCCTCTGTGGCCTCCTGACCATTGGAACCGGAGGGAGCCAGCTCAGATCCTGTGGCTTGGGTTGCTGGAGCCCCAACTTCATTGCCCAATCCTGTCAGACGTTGAGCACCGGGGACAGGCCCGGGATTAGATAAGGGATGCTAAAAAGAGGGCCTTTCTCAGAAGGCAGGGGATGAGGACGCTAGTCGTGGCTCTCCATCCTCCCACGAAGGAGATCTGTGAGTGTAGGTAATCTCCGCCTTTTCGTTTCCTATCAATAAAACGGTGTCACATCACCAGAATCGCTGTCCTCTCCACTCTCCAATGGGGTGACCGGGTAGTGGCTATGGGTGTGCTTTGAAAGCTGAGGAGGAGTGGACACTGTGGCACAGGCTGTTGCCGAAGGTTTTCCCCTGGGAACTCACGTAACCCTCACAACAACCACGGGAGGAAGATATATTAGCCCCCACTTCGCAGACGGGGAAGCTGACACGCAGAGGAGTTCATTAACGTGCCCAAGGTCACGCAATCAGCCGTCAGGTGGGGTGGTGCAGCCCATCCCCTCGCTCACCACGCTGTATGCCTCCCCACAGTGAGAGCGTACTCCCTTGAAGGCAGGGGGATGAGCTCTTGGGGTTCCTTCTCCAATCCCCTAGGCCAGTGGTCGGCAAACTCATCAGTCAACAGAGCCAAATACCAACAGTACAACGATTTAAATGTCTTCCGAGAGCCAGATTTTTTTTAAACTTAAACGTCTTCTAACGCCACTTCTTCAAAATGGACTCGCCCAGGCCGTGGTATTTTGTGGAAGAGCCACACTCAAGGGGTCCAAGAGCCGCACGTGGCTCTCGAGCCCCAGTTTGCCGACCGCGGCCCTAGCAGTTCCTATCCAAGTTCCAGGTCACCCTTAAGTCCTTGTCCTTTGTCTCTATCTCTTCTCACTCTTATTGCAGAATATCCCAACGCAGGATCCAGGAATCGCGTGGAAGCCTGGGGCGCTGCTGGCCCTGACCACAGCCTGGGGGAGGTACTGCCCCCCTGGAAGCTGAGCTCCCCTCCTGCCCTTGGCCTGATCGCGACCTCTTCTCCCCACAGACAGTAACTTCCTTCTGGCCAACGCACAGGGCCCACGGGGCTTTCCCATCGTCTACTGCTCTGACGGCTTCTGCGAGCTCACGGGTTACGGCCGCACCCAGGTCATGCAGAAAACCTGCAGCTGCCGCTTCCTCTACGGTCCCGAGACCAGCGAGCCAGCCCTGCAGAGGCTCCACAAGGCCCTGGAGGGCCACGAGGAGCACCGGACTGAGATTTGCTTCTACCGGAAGGATGGTGAGGCGCCTGGCCTGCCCTGCCGCCCTGCCCAGACCCCAGGCTTTACCCAGAATCCACTTGGCCCAGTGAAAGCTTGGGTGCTGGTCCCCCCCCACACACTGCCACCAGCTGTGTAACCCTGAGTGCGTCCCTGACCCTTTCTGGGCCGTGGTCCCCCCCATCCGGAAGGGGAAGGACTCAGCTTTGGATTTCTCCAGTTCCGAACGTTTACCAAACCCTTCGACTATGCCCAGGAGCCGAGGGGGTTAGGGATGCCACGGGCTGCTCACCTTCTCCCTCCACCTTTCCACGCCTGCAGGCTCAGCCTTTTGGTGCCTCCTGGACATGATGCCCATCAAGAACGGGATGGGGGAGGTGGTGCTTTTCCTCTTTTCCTTCAAGGACATCACTCCGAGCGGAGGCCCGGGACCTGGCCCCTCAGGAAGCCATGGGGACAGCAGTC